TTTAACTGAAATAATACTGTTGATATTTTTATATAACACACGTTTGAAAACCTAATAAGTTTCACTCTCTTAAAATATACTTATACATATATATATATTTATATACAACAAAATCCGGATTATCCGACATTGCTTTTTTCATCCCTCAGATTATCCGATCACGTTATCAAGTTCTCGTGATGATAGCATTACAGGCGATTTTTTTAGTATTACACTATCGTCATGAGGACATCGATAATGATAAGATCAGATAATTCAAAAGTAAAAAAATCGTTATCGAATTATCCGGTTTTCTATATATCTAATTATCTGTATATAGTATATGTGTTTGTAGTGTAACGTAAATATGTAAGTAATATGTGAGGAATAATTAGAAGAATATTAATTGCAATATTAAATGCAAATAATTTTGTACCTAAATTTTTGTATCATAAATAAAATTATTGTCACATTTAAATAAAAAATGAGTAAGAGAGGAAATAATAAATAATAAACGGAATTGTGAAGCGCAAATTGGATATAGTAGCTTTGTTGAGCCGTTTGGGGATACGCGCGCGCGAATCAAAATTATTTTGAAAAGGTCTGCTAAGTAGTGTGTAGTTATGTAGTTACAATTTGATTGATTTCTTTGCTACTGTTTTTAAATTTGTTTGTGTCTGTAAACAATTTCGGCAATTTCTATAGTAACTGATAAAAAAAGTACACAGAGTGGGCATAAAATATAGTTATTTTTTTAGGAAATTTATATTATTTAAACAGTTTCCGAAAAATTTTTATAAAATCCAACAACACAAAATAATACAACAACATTGCAACAATATTACTTTAAAAGATTACAATATTTCCAATAAAATATTAAAACAACATTGCTGCAATATTTTGTGCTATAGAAGAAATTTTGTTGAACGCAAATGTACCAAAAAGAATCCTCAATAGAAAAAATAACCAGGATAGTTTTAAAAAATAGAAAATCTGATTAAATTTTTTTTAAAGTTCTCTCTCTTAAAAATTTTTTCTAGCTTTAAAATATTCATAATTTGAATAACAGATCCAAAGGAAAATAAAACTTTACGACACTCATTGACATTGTTTTTTATCAGTTATCAAAAATTGCCAAGCTTTTTTCTCATACAAATTTATACAAAAAAAATTTAACAGCAAAAAATCAATTAACCCAGAATCACGCCACTTGGCAAACTTTTCCAAAACAGTTTTAACTTGCAACTCCTAACAGTATTTAAGCTACAATATACTATATATACGTCCAATTCACATACCGATTCAAATTCTGATTTTTTTTCCTTTTTTTTTAATGTATTTATATCTGCTTTAATCTAATTAAATAGAATTTTATAAACTATTTTATGATATTAAATTATATTTCTTATCAAAATAAAAATTGTTAAAATCATATTACAGATTTAAACAAAATTAGTATTCTTATCTAGTAATATAAAATATTTTTTTATAGATGTATGTAAACATGATAGATATCTTTTTAGTATAAAGTGTTATATAAAATGACATTTTATAGAGCTATTAATCATGTGGAAGATATATTCAGTTTAATATTGCTGATACTATTTCTATATTTTGGTACCCTCTTCGCTTTCTATGGATTGTGGATAATGAATGTAATTAATTTTAAAAACATTTTTGTTATATACAATTTATTTGCTTTATAAATAGTTTTCATATACCTCCGGAAAATTAAATAATAGATGAATAAATGAGTGCAAGAAACAAGATTAAATATCAAGGCGATTCTCGGTCATAACATTATAAAATTCCTCAATCATACCATTATAAAATTTATGAAAAGAAAATATAACATTATATTACACTATATATGGACCCTTCTTTAATTTTATGCGACTTGGACCATTCTTCTCGTTTTTCTTGATATAAATGCGTTCCGACATAAATCGGTCTTCATGCTTCGTATAAAATAGACTGCTTTTTATAAATTTTTTGACATAGACCTTTCTTCATGTTTTTTTCGTTATACCTTCTACGGCTCAAGCGTCAATTATGCTATAGCTATAATACTAAAAATAACATCTTTTATATCTTTTTAACGTATATTTAATTACATCTTTTATAACGTATATTTTAATTAATTGACTAGATACTTGAAAGTAAACAGCACTTAACATTTTTAAACTTGGCATATTTTGTAAGCATTGTTACCAATATATTTGGTCACATGTGCATGTACTGCGCTGTTGGCGAAATATTGACAGCTAAGGTATAATTGAAATTCTTTACTTCTTATTAATCATTATATTTTTCCATACACAGTTGCCGATTATAATAAATGTATCTAAAATCAGAAATAATAGTAGTATTATACTCAGAAAGTGAAATGTTAACGGAATGTCAACAAATTGATAGCAAATTTGATCAGAATTAGATATTAGCAGATTGACGTCAACTGATGTCACATTCTACTTCAGTTCTGTCAGCATTTTTTGAATATTCTATATCAACAGACTGTGGCAGAAATCAAATAGAACGCTTGTTAAAATTCTATGCCGGCAGATTAACAACAGAAATCGAGTAAGATTTGCTGAGAAAATTTGACGGCAAATTGGTAGCAGAATCGGAGCAGTATTTGCATAACACAAATTGGCAAACTAATAGCAGATATGGAGCAGATTCTGTTTTATAGGTATTAAAATTGTAACATTATTGCTATAAAAAAAAATTTCTCAAAACAACGTTTCTATTACTTACATTTCTTCTATTTTGAGAAAATAATTTTAAACAATTTTATTAATACATTAAATATATTTCACATATTAAAGCTTAAATATATAAATAAATATATGTACTGTTAAGTCTAGTTTGATTTAATTTAAATCGCCACTGCTCCTACTAAGTATATCGTTATTTTATACTAAAATAATAGTTAAATTTGACACTATAGCCTGTTGTGTCAATTTAACACTATATACTAGTATATATTATATCTAAAATGTTTATGTAAATAGAACATTTAAGTAACGTTCTTTAGACGTATTTTAGACGTCTAACAGCGATAAAAACGAGATATTTCTAAACATAATTTGGACGTCCAAAGACGTCGAATTAATTTGGGTATTAAGTCAACTCACGTGCTGTCATTAGAACAAAAACAGAAAGCGAAATCAGTTCAGGCTTCTACTATTCTCCGATCAAATCTGTTATCAGTCTGTCGACATTTCTACTAACATTTAATTTACAAGACAAGGCCTATTCTTTTTGGCTGAACTTTTACATCCGTTCATCTTTCTTCTTTTTCTCTCCAGAAGGAAAAAAGAGGAAGAAAGATGAACTGGTGCAAAACTTTAACCAAAAAAAAACAGACCTACAATATCTGCTTGAAATTTACCTTTCTGACATCAGAAATCAATATGGCAGACTTTACTCAAAATTTGTTTCCGCAGACTTGGCTATCTAAGATAATATATCTTTAAACGTATTTAATGTACATTTAATGTATTATATATCATATGAAACTTATATTAACAAGTATATATTATGTATATGTGATGACTATAGTATATAAAAGTCTTAAGCTGCAACTGTATTCTCAATAGCCAAAGTTTAATTAGTTAACAAAAAAATTACCTTTTAAAATTGTTTGTAAATTTGTATATAAGTATATTATTATACAGCACGCTATTTTAATAGTTCATATACGTATTTTTTATAACTTTAAGTGCGACAGAATCCACTATGCTGTATATTTCAATGAATGGTATACTTTCAATGCAAGAAATTCTCGAGACTTAGTTCTTCTAATGTTAAGAACCAATAAGCCTCTTCATCTTCACTTCGGTAAATTGTTTCCTTTAACAATGGCTACATTTTGCAGTGTAAGTTATCTCGAATTTTAAATATGATTTTAGAGTATAACAAGATAGTCTTTTTATATATATGTAAAATAAAGTCAATATAAATACAAAAATATTTCGGAGCATTTAAGTAAAAACATAAATAATAAAATAATAAAGAATTTCGTGTCAGCCACTCAACTGAAAAGAAATTCTTTGTAAAATCTAATCATTAATTTTCCATTGACTCAGATGTTTTAAATTCACAAAAGATTTTTAAGATATACAATATAATATATATAAATTATAGAAATATAATTTTGACACAATTGTTTTATTTTCTTTG